CTTACCCATAATTTAATCATCATTTCATTTGATTATTATTGATTTTTTTCCATAAATATATAATGGTATACAATACAATTTTAAACATATATTTTATTCTATGAGACAAACATTTACTTAGAAATTGAGTGTTTTACTCTCTTACATAAAAATATCCATCAAATGTGCATCAAATCGGCACTAAAACTACTTAATAAGTAAATGTTATCTCAATAATTTTTATATATTATATATGTATATATTTTAAATATTCACGCCATACTTTGAAAGATATTCAAAAGTAAATTATAATTTTTATTACATCGAGATGCTAATGAAGTGGCATATACCACTCTGAAGGACTACTATATAGGTAATATTAGGTACAGTGAGTAAATAATTATAAGTTCGAACGTTGCTTTACAAGATCAGAACATATGTGTTCTATGTGAAACATTGTATAGTGACATAGTGTATTTAGTCTAGTTTTAATGTGTTGAAAATTTTTTACTAAGTCGACATGTAATAATGAAATAATACCTTTTCTATAGTATTAAAATGTTTGTTACTCCAACAAATTCGTCCAGCCTTTGAAATTCCTTGATCAATGTGATGTGTAGGAATAATGATTTTATGCATTAATAGTGTAGGATTGTCCATAATAATATATTACATTTAATAAAAATTATGACATGATATTTATATTTTTCATACATATAAAAATAAGGTAAATTTTTTAAATATCAATATGTTTCAACAGGTTTTAATTTTTATCATACTTTGTTTTAAATGTATATTTCACCCGCACATGTTGTATTTTGTCTTACTAGCATATAAAATATGACACATTTTAAGTTAAGAAGAATCGTTTTACTCTGCTATTTTTAATATTAGAGAGAAATGGCTTATAATGACATTAAAAAGGTAAAAATATTATCTAGAGCATCTTGATAGTTTTTTTTTTTTACAATTAAATTTTAAAATTTACAAACATTTGCCATTTTATGCATTAATAAGATAAAAATCAAGGAGTGGCATGCTCAGGAGGAGAGAATAGGGATTATTAACTCCTCTCCCCATAACATCAAGAAAATTATATCGTAAATAATAATTATATTATTTTATATTACACATCGTTATATTTTAATATTCATAATTCATAATAATTATTATTTATTTAATCGCATTCGTTCCTGCCACTCTGCAATCGTCAACGTACAGTATTATTGTGATTCACTAAATGCTCAACTATTTAAAATTTCATAATGTTTTAAATATCACACGGTCGTTCGTAAATTTCACAAAAACCATTGACTTATAGTTAATATAATTAAATAAAAACATTTTTTATTTTTAATTTTTTTATAAGATAACATAATATAATAATTAATAAGCATATTCAAAAGTCCGATATACTCGTATATATTATATAACTGTAAACTATGATACATAATAAGCTCTAATAACCATTTATTATTATTATTATTATTATTAACTTACTAATTGTTATTAAGTCTAATTAATTTAAAAAGTTAAAAATATAATAAAATAATATAATTATAATATAATATAATAATAATAATAATAAAATATTATATATTATATTATATTATATTATAATATAATTATTTAATTTATTAAATTTATCATAGATATATATTATTTTCATAACTTAACCTGCAGTGTATTTGTATAGTGCCGTATTAATAGCTTATTATATTAGTATATTATACATAGGGCCTATTATATATATATATATTTGTTTAGTAATGGTTATTAAGGGCCTACATTAATGTTGATCTGATCTTTCTTTGAACCACTCCCTCCATTTCAAAATCCTAGGTGCGCCACATACAGAGACATTAGATGCAAGTAAAACATTCTCTTAAAATCCATTCTAATCAAGCAAATGATATTAATAATATTTGACGTCGATGCTTTCGCAAATAAACTGTATGATGCACAAAACCTTGCAACTCTTTCTCGAAGACATCGCCTATGAAATTTGTTAAAATACACAAACTGAAGAAAACTAAACAAAAAAAAATTAAGTGGTTATTACATTCTTGTTTATTCTTATATATATAAAAGAACAGGCCTTTTTTTATGTACCAATTTTGTGATAACGCTATTTAACTTTTTTCCAATTTTTTTTCACAGAATTGTTCTAAATACCTTCCTAAGAGTCACCACTTCGCATGATTTTCAAAATTTTGATTTTAAAGGGTTGAAATTGGCAAAAATAGTTTTTACATGTAATTTTTATATTTATGTATTAATATTATAATAACAATAGCAGTCGACCGATAACGGGAAATACAGTACGGCACAGCGGTCCGAGGGTTTCCATCTACCTGTACTCTGACTTTTTTTTGTGTGTGTATTTTATTGGCGTGTAGATATGAATTGTTCCGAGGCTGTATTTAATTGTTTAGAAAACACGACTATAAAATAGCTCAATTTAAACAAATAATTGCGTTATCGAAAAATAATAATAAGTTTAAGAAAGCAAAAACGGGTCGCTGTAAATTGCGTCCCGTTTCAAATTTTTTATGTAAATTGTGGCCGGAGTATATTTTATACATACGTAAATTGCGGCCCCGTTATATTTTAATATATTTGCCTACTTAAATATTTTTCATTGTTATGTAAATTACATATTAAGGGTTGTTATTAAATTTAAAAAAATATAAGTACTAATTTACCAAATACTGTAAATACTGTAGACCAATGTAAAAACTTGTGCAAAATATTTCGATCAAATGCACACTGACGGCTAGTAATATTATATAAGTGAGCATCAAGTGATATCCTTATCAATCAATATTAAAGATAATATAACCAGCCGACCGGAAATCGGAATATTCCGGGCCGCAATTTACGTACATTTCAAATATATTCGGGCCGCAATTTACACAATATATAACTATGACCTTTTTTGCGGAACGCAATTTACCAACTCCGGCAAAAACTACACACGGGCAAATCCGGGTAATTCAGCTAGTAGCATATAAATGAGTAGTTGCACCTACCCACTTGAAAATAAGTCCATCGAGTATGCATCACAGAATCTAGCAACGATGCGATGGCGGGAAGTATAATAATATTATAAAGGAGCAGGACTCTTAAGAAAAAACTAAAAACTCGTCTACTAGCGTACAATAATAATATTATGCTGCTGAAAAATGCGTTTCCTGCAATTATTATAGTTCTGTTTATTAATTTACCAACTGTAGAGTAGTTTCATGTATAATATATTATTCTGCTTTTAGACCTACTTAAAAAAGTAAATGGACATAATATAGATATAAATAGAACGTATATATTATTATAGGTGTAACATCACTATATCAGTGCTAAATTAATAATTTCATATTATATTGAACATGTGCGAAATATATAACATTGTATCTAGTATAGGCAGTATAATTATATCAATACGTATGAATTTAGGTATAAATGGTCATAAAAAAAGGTCTGGGAAAAATACAAAGTATAAAAGTAGCTAAAAAAATACACATTGTTCTTTAAAAAAGAAAAAGAAAATAAAACAAAATAGCAAAAATATAATACATAATTTATTGTAAAATACATAATTACAGTAACATTAAAGTCAACATTAATAAAAATATATTTAAAATATAGATATACCTTTGGTTATGTGAGAAGATCCGGCTTTCCCGACAATGTCTGATGAATTCCAGACCAACAACAATATTTTATAGCTCATTTTTAACTATTTTTAACAATTGTAACTCACTTTTCAAAATTTCAATTCCACATCTTGTTCGATAAGGGTCAACTCCACGTATACTCCAAAGTTTCGGAGTTATATGTTGATAATTAGTTTTTAATTTACCTGGGTAATTTAATAAGATGTGTTTTGCACAAACGTCAAAGATTATGGTTTTTAAGTTGCCGTGTTGACCTGTGTATAAATTCAAACGCATTCAATCATAATTTTCTTTTTGTTTTGTTTAAATGTTGGCAAAAATAATATTAGTTTCAGCCATAATGATTTCATAATAAATAGTTTATAAATTAATAAACAGAGCAAGAGATTTGAATAACAACCTTACATTACCTACTGTTGTTATTAAAATAATAGAATTATATGAAACATGCACGTTATTAAATATTGACTTTTGGACTTATCGTTCGAGATTCAGATTTTAAACTTTTATTAACTCGTGAAACACTGTGTTAAATATACGAGCGACGAGCTTTTATATTAATTATTATAGACTTCAGAGTCGCAAATTATTAAGGTAAATAATATAGGTGTAGTATGTTTGACAAAAGAAATTACTCATGGTTATATTTTTTGTAAAAATTAAATTTCGTTGAAAATTACTTTGGATAGGCAGACAATAATATTCATTTTTACGAAACAAGACCATATTATTATATTAATTTGATTGTCTTTTTTTTCTGCCGGACATATTATTTTCTGTGGCTTATTTGTAGCTTTTTGGGTCGTTAACTTTGTAAACTTGATCGTTTTTTTTTTCCTCGATGGCCATAAAATCGTAATCATTACTCGTCTACCGACGTGCACTATCGCATTATTGTATTGCTTGTAATTATTATTATACGTACTGCGAATTTGCGACGTTGCGTAACGCGCGCGTAGTATACCTATGTCCTATATACACACGAGTAATATAATATTAAACATATAGCACACAATATAATATAATGTACTATGATAATAACAATATAATAACGTGACGCGATGTACCCGCGAGCGACGGACGTGTACACGGCGGGACGCGCATCATTAGCCCCCAGACGGTAACTATGGATACGCCCAGGAAAGCCATAAGCTCGCGCGGGCCCTCGGCAAACACGGTTCGCGTATCGTGAAATGCGATGCGTGTGCGCGTGTGTGTACGTGTGCGCGCGTAATGTACGTTTTCGCTCGCGCGCACGCGGCGGCGGCGGCGGCGGGTGCTTTTGCGGCCGGCGGGGTGCGGGGCGGCAAGGGGCAGGAGGGTGCAGATGGGGGGAGGGGCGGCGGAGGACGTTGGTTGAAAAGTTTCCGCGCGCGCCACAAGTGTTCAGATACAGGACCGTCGCAACAGTTCGCGTGCCGCCAGCAGCGCATGTTTCGTCTGACGCCGCCGTTGTCGCTTACTGAAGGCCTTACTCTTCGGGGCCGCCACACGATACGCGCAGACCGCGTATACGGACGCGCTTGACGTTATCTCGACTGACCGTTATTTTCGTCTCGTTTACGAACCATGACCGTTTGAGTGCTGTTCGTCAATCACAATATCGTACCTATTATGCGCGGCGCAGACGAGCGCGAAACGTTCGCAGTGTTTGTGCAGTGAAACGACTACTATACGTCACGCGTCCGCCGACCGTAACAATAATATTGACACCGCGCCGACAACACGTAGTGACATTACCATCACGTACGCGCTCACGTGATGTCATCCGCCGACCGGGTGTTCGAACGACGGGTCGTGTCCAAGCGAAGGACGTCCGCCAACCTGGAGGACACGCCGGAGAAGCAGTGCCCGAACGGTTGGGCCAGCGTCGTCGCTGCCGCCGCGGCAGCCGCGTCGTCTTCGTCCACGTCGTTCCGGCAAAAGACGGCCGCCAAGATCTCGCAGAGGACGACGTTTCAACCGCATCCCGATTCCATTTGCGATTGGTTCTTCAAAGTGAGTGATATCGTCGTTATTGCATACCATGTCTTGCACATAGTGTTGTTGGTAGGTATTAATGCACTATTAAGTCATATTATGCAGTATGCACTCGCTATACACGAAAACGTACCCTACGTATATGTCTATTGTTTGGGAGACGCCAGGCGTAGGTTGTAGCGAATAGCGGTCATCCCAAAAAATTTTTCATGTTATTTTAAAAAACAAGACAAATGCTGATTATTATTATTTCTGCGAATCGAGTTTTGTTGCTCTGTAAAAGTGTTGCATGAAGCTCTTTTAACTTTCAACTACTCTAAAATCACGCACTAAACAATGATAATATCAAGTCTGATAATTTAAATATTTTATGCTTTCTAAAATACGCCGTGATATTTTAATTATTATTTTTTTATGTATACGGCGTTCTAATTGTTATGTACATTTATTTTTTTTTTTTTTTTTGAAGTTTCGAAAACATTTTTGAGAACATCATATATTCTATAAAATATTTATTTTTTAAATTATTAATTAAAACAACTAGTTAGTAAACTAAAAGGTTCCTTAGTAAATTGACATTTTTTACTTGAAACAAAGTAGAGAAAGTTTATGTTATTACAATGATTTATCCTTTTTTTAGTCATAATACTTTTAGAAGTAGTAAAAAAGTTCTAAAAGTTTCATGCCACCTTTCTATAGATCAAAAATTGAGCACAGATGGTGCTTTAAACATGATAATTTAATTTTTCCAATATTTTTTAAGAAAACTACTCTAAAACAACAAGTTAAAGGTGAAACATAAATGATTTTGTTTAAAACTTGCTTACAATAATCGAGATAAGCCAGCTTAAGAATTATTGTTATTCATCGTTGTTTTTAATTTAAAAACAAAGTAGATACCTACATCAGAATTTTCGTTTAACATATTATCATTAATTGTTATAGTGTTGTTTAATTAATTTAAATAACTTAATATGTAGGTATACGATATTATAGTATTACTTTAACATACACAATAGTAAATTGGTAAGGGGAGCACCCACAACAGACTTTTAACTATACTTAAAATATTTTTTTATCTTTAAATTTCTTTGTTATTATTTTTAAATTTAGACGTCGTGTACATACAACGACTAAATTAACTTTAAAATAGACAACTAATATATTATTAGAAGTATGCTAGTACTAAGCACACGATACTTAAATGGATTTGAATAGCTATACACTGTACTGCAGTATGCAATCCTTATACCTTGAATACATTTTTTTTTTGGATATTCCGTATACTGTCTGTGTTTTCTACCACACATAGAATATAATATTTTCATCCCAATGTCCACCAGATAACTTTAAAATGCTAATTCATTTTTTAAATATCCTCGAGAATCTAGTTTAGATAATATACCAAGATTGTACCTTTTATTTACCTACTTCGAGTGTGAAATACTACTGAAATGTCTGAAATACATTCTTTTGAATTTATTAAGAAAACCTTTAGATAATCATATTGTTTACACGCCATGTTTGTGTATATCTATATATCAGGTTATCTATTTTACGTAAGACACTCATTGTCTTAAAAACTATTAACGTTTTTGAAAATATTTTTTTTTACATAATTTTAAATATTGTTTCCAAAAAATATTTTTTACTATTTTTGAATGTCTTACTTTTTTTTTTAATGACAACGTATATTTTTAATCAATTGAATTTTTCCACATCAAAATATTCTTGGAGTACCAAAGTATATAAAAATAGAATCTTGAATGAATATTTGATGAGTTTTAAGTAAGTATTCAAAAATTAGATGAGCAGAATAGAATATTACATTTAAAGGTATCTAAAAATGTTAGTCCACTACTCCATTCGTCTCAACTTTAAATACTTTTAACTAATAAACTACTTAATTTACTTAAATTTGATTGATTATTTTTAAAGATCGAAATATTTCGAACAATATTCTGTTTCAAAATATGAAATTAAAAATATACGTTGTCATTTCAAAAAGTAATATTTAATAAATGATAATTAATAACTAAAAAAAATACAATTTTTTTTCCAAAAATATTGTTTTCTAATAATATAAACTCATGTAAAAGAAATATTTTTATAAAATTTATGGTTTTTTTTTTTTTTTTAATAATTAGTGTTTTACGTTAAATATGAATCACTCCATATTATATCTACGTAATAATTCAGTAATATAATTTTTATCATATCTCAATAATAATTATTTTCTAAATAATATTTTTGCACATTAGGTAAACATTATTTTTTAACTATAATGTACGGCTCTATCACTAACAACGCATTTAATAAGCAAAACATAAAACAAAAATATAATCAAAAATTGAATTTATTGGAATTTTATTTTTATAACACTTTACACTTGTGATAATAAATTAATATTTTATGAGGACATTTTTTTTTTTTTAATTCTTTATTAATAATATCATCTCACAAAGTGTCGCAGCCCGCAGGTGTTATGTTTCCCATTTTGTTATTTATAATTTATAACTACAACAAAGTAGATTATCAACTATACGAGTGAAATACCTTCTTGTGACCTGCCTAATTGACATTTTTAAATTTATATGTCCATAATGAGTTTAGTATTAGGAAAACTATACATTTCTTAATAAAAAAAATTAACGAAGTAGGTACAATAAACTATTATTAAATATTTCATTTTAATAAATTAGAAATTCACCTAAATATTACAATTATAATATGATACTGTATGACTATAATATCAAGATACTTTTATCAATATTATTTTATAGGATTTTAATAAAAAATATTGTATTTCAATTATATTTGAAGAGAAATGAAATTCAAGAAGAAAATAATAATAAAAAAACAAACAGATCACGTGAAATAAACTCATACAGTTAAATTTTTAAATCAATCTGTTCAGAGATACTATTATTAGTAGTTTTATGATTCTACTATTATTATTCCTGTATATCTATTTATTTTACAAAACATTTAAAAAAAATCATTACAAGCTCATATTATTTTGTTAATCTAGATATTATGTTTTTAATGTTGATAAATATTTTTTATTTAATATTAAATAAATTTAGTTAATAAATCAAAACCAAAAATAAAGTGTATGTAAGACATTCATGATTATTTACTCTTCATTCTCGAAATTCAAAATAATACATTTTTATACAATGAAATATTTGAATATTACCTACTGTTGATACATAAGATACGCTTATATTATTTTAAAAATATCGATTGTTATTTGTTAAACAAACAATAGTTAGTTATTCAAAACATTTAATATTGCAGAAATTTAAATTTCATTCATTGTTATAAACAATTGTATCCATATCATCTTTAACTTTGATTAAAAACACAATCAATAGGCGACATAAAGGAACTTTGTTTTAAACATGTTATTCCATTTTAGATACTAAGTAATTTTGACGTCGAACTCACTATGTTATAACTTATAATAACTTGAAAATGAGATATTTAATTTATCTTAAATGATAAAGTAATAAATTATTTTGAAACAAAAATAGTAAAAACTTTAATAAAATAAATAATAAATTGAGAAAAATAGTATTTAATATTTTTTTTATCTAATATTAGTTCTTTAGTACCAATAAAATGTATTTTTGAAACTACAATTACTTGTAATTTTATTTTAACATGCAATTAGCCTAACAAGATATGACATAAGACTATGTTTTTTTATACAATTTATAGTTATACATCATACAAGACATCGTAATGAAATCATTATTATAAATTTTACATACCTATTATTATACGTCTTTAAATTGTACAATATGGCATAGGTATAATATGGTCCTATTTTAACTAGGGTTCTCCACCCAATTACACTTATTTATATTTACAACCACTTTTCAAACATACAAACTTTCAACTGTCATAATATAGAATATTTGGTAGGTATATGATATAATATAATATTATTTATTAGGTAATACATTTCTTAATATAGGAACAATAACCGTAATTTATTAAAATCATATATTATTATATTGATAATTTCAATATTAACATCAAGTTATACTCTACATTTGTGTAGGTTGTACACTTGTACCTGGTTTTAGTATAAATTGACTATGCGTCTATGATTTTCTATACTGGCCCTTATAAAATAATAAAGACATACTCTTCCCATCATAAAATAATAAGATTTTGGTTAGTTTATTTAGTATTAATTTCAGTATTTGTTTTTTAGGTGATGGTACTCGGTGATTCCGGAGTTGGAAAGACTTGCCTGTTGGTCCGTTTCAGGGACGATATGTTTTTGGGAGGCAATTATATTTCTACTGTTGGTGTAGACTTCAGGGTGAGAACGACAATTGGTTACAGATCTTGAAAACCGTTGATTGTCTCGATGGATATAAACATAAAGACTAAAAATACTATTGTTTTACTGACGATCGTTATTAATATATTATGATTACTGAAATTATCATAATAACAATTTGTACGTGACCTAAAAAATGGAATCAACCCGTATATAATAACATCAAATTATAAAACAACATGCACGTATGATAAGATAATGTAGATGCCGCTTAGTATAGGTAGACGGTGTTATTTAAACAGTTGCTATGAACATGTGGTAACTCATTTGTAGTTGTAGGTACCCTATATAAAATTGATGTATTTTATATTAATATTATTATTTTCTAAACTATGTATAATCAGAAGAAGCACCTGTACCTTGATCATTTATCGCGATTTTAAGATCATCTAATTATATTATACATGAGGCAGAGTCAAATAATAATAACAGTTGGATAACGTAGCTGATGTGTTTAAATATTTTTAATGACTAATGAAATTACAATTTTTTCTTACACAGTAAATGTTATTTTTTATGAACATGTGTTTTGCTTTTTGTGACTTTTACTTTAAAATGTAATTAATTATCTGTTTCAGAATAAAATTATATCTGTTGATGACTCCAAAGTCAAGCTACAGATATGGGACACTGCAGGTCAAGAAAGATTTAGAAGCGTAACACACGCTTACTATAGAGATGCTCATGGTAAATACTAATACTAATAACCCATATAAACTAAATCAAACACAAGTATGTGCAAATAACAATTAAAAAACAGATATAATAAATTTCAAACGTTTAGAGGATGTCGTACACGCATGTGTTCTCTATCTTGTAGTCGCATAACATACAAAAATTTATGTTCAGTAGTTCCCATATTTTGTTAAATTAAATATTAAAATGAATAATTGATTTATTATCAAAAATGAAGATAAGAACATTATCTATGTTACATTTTTGGTCCTCTTGCGATATTTAAATATTTGAGCAAGTTATGAGTATGCAAAATATTAAAATTTAAAAATTTAAATATTCTAAAAAATCAATTAGAGAACACAGATGATGTTTGAACCTCAAAGTTTGAAAATAGATCCAATTTACTCAAATAAATTAAACTAATAACATGAAATAAAACTGGAACAGCTAAAATTAACTTTGTTTTATAAGATATAAATACCATATTATGCGGGTGTAAAGAATGTGACGTCCTTTCAAATAGGTACATTTCATTATACAAAAGTTGAATATAGTTACATGGGAAATTTATTATATAATTGTATATTATGTAATTAGTATATAAAATACGTCTACATGTCGTGTAAATTCATTATTTTTAATTTAAAAGAGATATGTAAATAAAAAAAAAAAAAAAACAAAAAATTGAATGACAAGTGAAGTAGTAATAGTTAACCAAATATCTAAACCATGTCATCGGTTCATAAATAATATATATATATATATATACAAGTACATAGTTTAACGTTTAATATTATACTAAGGTACTAACTTAAAATAAATATGAAAAATACAATTTTTTAAAGAAAGGCAAGTGGGTACGGCTCTGTTGTACTTACAATCGGTACATGTCGAGTCGATCACTGTGATGGATGTATTAAATTTGAATTAAATGATATATTATTGTATACGAAAAACGATTTTAAGCGAAGACAATCCATCAACTTTTATTACTAAGTATATTTCATGTTCTGGTTTTTGATATTTCTATTGGGTAAAGTAATTTATTTTACTATTAGTAATTAGTTTTTGCTAAATATATTGCATTTGAAAATATCATTGTATGTAAAAATACAATATTATATACGCAAAAGTTATATGTCCAGATTTTGTCAAAAACTGGATTAGTGTAAAAATTTCCGTTTTCTTAACTATTTGTTTTTCCTAGTTATTTTGAAAAATGCTGAGAATTTTTAACTTTTACCTTTTTTAAGTATAATCTAGATCCAATCCACTATCTAAAACCATCCTGAAAGTTAAAAGTAATTTTTACAACTACTTACCTATTGTGTATGCGTATGTACTAAAAAAACACACACATCATTGTAAAATCAATATATTTATTGTTCCATTCAGAATCTAAAATAGGCATACATAAAAAAACCTAGGATAAGTCTTTGTATACAATTTTAAGTTACATATAGTTTTTCTTCGTATAACTATTAGAAACAAATACAGACTTGTGTGATTGTTTTAAAAAAAATAGATTTTAAAAATAATTTATTATGATCAAAATACATCATAAACATTTTATATTAATTTAATATAACTTTTAAGTCATACATAATATTAATATTTAATATTTATTTAGTATATCACACAATAACATTATACTATTTATTTATCTAGATAAAAAACACTTTTCCATAATATAATTTGTACTGAATTATACTGTGTAAACTGTGTTACTGTATATAGTATAATAAAGCTTGAAGCTTTTACATTTCCAAGATTCATTAAATTTAAAATGTATATGTTTCAAAAATTATTATGAACTATAGCTTTTTTATAATAAAAATTAATATTTAAAATTTCAATTTAATTAATTATACTTTTACATTATATTTATTACTTATTATATTAATTATCATTAAATGTACGGTTATTAATTTATTTTATGGACAATTGTCTAATTTTAAATACTTATACAGTACTAATAATAATAGCGAATATCATAAATGATAATTAATATGTAACATTAACAATTATAATAGAAAAGTAAAAAGAATTTTCAATTTAATTATTTAATGATTTTAAGAGAAAAGAATTGAGCGCAGCAGTTCTACGTATTTTTAACGAATCCAATTTTAAGATTTCTAGAATATTTTCGTAACTAATGTGGGTAGTTCTTAGTATACTAGATTTAAAACAGATACAAAATAAAGAATTACTTTGAATTTTTTCAAATTAGTTATTATACTCAATGTTATTATTTTCCCAGATAATCGTTACATATTCAAGTAAACGGTAGATAAGTGATGTACATAGAGGCATTTGGAGATAAATTAATGGTTAAAATCGAAACACTAACCTTTAATCATATAAATAAATAATATAAATAAAATTTTAATTTGGATTGTTAATAGATGTAAATTGAATAGTAGTTTAAATTCAAAACATACAGGTACCTAAATCTTTAATTACAGAGAAGTGAAGTAGACTTAGTGTCGATAAACCGCAATTAAAATTAATAGGATTTTTTGAATAAGAAATGACTTGACATTTGTTGGTATTTGGAGAGAGATCATTTAAGATAGACCATTCATTAAAAGTGTTTACATCATTTATCGAGAGTATACTATGATCAATAGATGAAATTAACTTGATAATTGTTGGGTCGTCACCTAATAAAAAAAACATGCAAATCAGTAATAGAAATTACAATAGAAATTGTTTAGTGTTTGATAGTCTAGTCTAATTGATGACTTAAGGCTTTTTATATAAGACCATAATTTTTAAAGTTGAGATTTTAAAAATATTGCATATTATTTAGGTAACAAATGTAATATAATTTACTCGAAAGTTTAAATTTTGAAAATTTGAATTAACCACTGTTAGAGTTAGACATCTTAGTGTGATAAGTTTTTTCAGCTTATTTTATTTATTAGATCTTTAGAAAACCAGAAAGGAAACATAAATAATTTATTAAGTAATGCCTTAAGTTCGTACCTAATACTTAAAAAAAATATTTAGTGGAGTAAAATTCATTAATAAGAATAGAGTTATCACTATTAAGTTTAAAAAAATTGACCCATTTAATTGATCCAAGGAACGTTAAAATTATATTTCAGAATATGATAGAGAGGAGAGGATATAAATATGAGTATAACAATTATTTAAAGAAGGTTGATAACTGTTGATAAGAGTGATAACATCATTATTTAAAGATATAAATGACAAAAAGAATTAAATAATATAAGGTCAAGCACAAAACCCATGTAATTTTTATTGTGTTTATTTGGAATAAATTAAGAAAAACTAGATTTTCAAGAAAAAATAACTTAGGAAAGGAAAGGTTTCAATTTGCATTGAAAATGTAAATGACTGATGGAATATATTAGTTGTTAATAGCTAACAAAACTCCTTCGCCTCGTTAACGATTTTAATAAATATATTAATTACACCTAAATATTGAAAAATGTATCTTATTTTTTCACCAAGTTTCAGTTAAAATTAAAATACATAAATACAAAAACTAAAAAAATATTATGTTGGATTTTAGTAAGTGTAGTATTTAAACTTCTAACATTCTGTGCAAGCAATTAAAGAGTAAAAGGTAATTTTTTAGATTAATAAATGTAAGCTTACTTCTAATATATTTTATGATAAGATCAGATTCTAATTTTATTCTCCTTCTGCGTTTAGGCGGAAAAACTCTTGGCGAATATGGGACATGTAATTTTATTATAGCTTTGTTTCATAGGAGAAGAAACTAATGTCTTTCCATAGTAGATTCGATTTTAATTTATTTTGTGACAAAAATATATCCAAATCGTCTTATTGATCTAGAAAACATAATAATGTTGGTCTGGTAACAGTGGGAGATAGTTTACCAAAATGAGAAATATGATTTAATATAGATTTTAGGCTGATAAATTTAAAGACATTTTGAATAGTATTAAAATCCTATCTGGTTGTTAGAATCGTTTGATAGCTTAGGTGATTAAAAAGAAAAGCATCTTTCTGACAATTTTGTCGATCAATTATCGCTAAAATATTAGAAAAATATTATCTCTGTTATTTTTGAAATATAAATAACTGCCAGTACGAATTATTTATCTTAATTTGTTCAACACAATATAAATCTATTTCATAGTTATATGTGTTTACTACGTATATTTTCTTAAATTTTTCCGTCTTAAAATATTCTTAACTACGATATTTTATAACAGTTCTCATTAATTATTGCTTTATTTTTATTCGATAAGCATACTGGCATAATGCTTGCATATTGTATAATTTTTACAAGTAAATAATTTATAATCTAATTTACGTTTGTATTACAGCACTTTTACTTTTGTACGATGTAACTAACAAAGTAAGTTTTGACAACACACGAGCATGGTTGAGTGAAATTCGAGATTATGCTAATGATCAAGTAGTCATAATGTTAATAGGTAAAATATATTATGTTAATACACCCAAACTAATTCTTATACCATTTACACTTATTGATTTGCAATGTACTTATGTTTCATCTAATTATTATTTATTTTAGGAAATAAAGCTGATTGCAATTTAAATGATAGAATGGTGAAAAGAGAAGATGGAGAACAATTAGCTAAGGAATATTCAATCACTTTTATGGAGACCTCTGCAAAATCGGGCTTAAATGTCGAAATAGCTTTTATGGCTGTTGCGAGGTATCTATAAAACAGTTATTATTAAACATATTAAATATGAGTGAAAAAATACTAAAAATGTGTTTAACTAAGTGGAACTAGACAATATACACAAATATAACTATGGTCATTTTTAATACACCTAGATACATTTTCATATTTTATTATAATATTTATAATGTGTTTATAATTTTAGGGAGTTATTATTCAAAAAAACAGGGATAGAAAAAAAACGATCTTTTAATGTACAAGATTATGTGAAAGAACAAACTAAAACCAATTGTCCTGCATGCTCTACAGCATAATACATTTTATGGTAAAGTATAAAGATCAAAATTACTCAATGTTTTCTAAAAAATAGTTCTAATATAAAAATATCAAATTAGAGAGTCATAATAGAACAATTTTAATTCAATCAAATATTTATGCTGTATAATTTTAAGCTTGAGCATTATTTTTTAAGAATAGTAGATATATATCTTATATTATATGAATTTATACTGCAAATTATAAATACAATTAAAATACTGAAATGCTTGTTTCATTAATGAACATGCAATATATATTTATTAGAAACCAATGAAACCATACTTTTTGTTTTTCTGTTGGCGTTTGTTTATTGTATCAAATTTATTCTATTAAAATGTGTCGAACGCTATACATTATACCGTAACATCTGTAATAAGCCATAATTGTTTTGTCTGTGATGACATAAAATTGTGTCCAAACTGGAGCTATTATTTACGGAAATTGCTAATATTACACATTTAGTTAAATGTTAGTTTGGTTATTTTAGTTTACTTTGCTAATCCCTACATTAGTATTATATAAGTATTGTATAATAACATTACACAATCGTACAGGCTGTTTACTAACAGTAAAACAAAGTCAACACAATAAATAGAAAAGTAAAATTCCAACCAATTGACAATTAGTGTTGATAAAATGCGACTACAAGTTGCATTATATTACTTATCTACAGTGGCGGATCTAGGATTTTTTTATGATGGGTGCTATTTTGTTAATAACAATTAACAGCCCGTACTAAAAATTTGCCACTCAACGAACTATTAATAATTTTTAATAAAAATACGCGGAACGGTGGGTGCTTCAACACCCAAGCACCCCCTCCCCCCTAAATCCGCCACTGTTTGTCTACATAAGTATTAACTTAAGTAGATAATGCATTTTTAATAATGTTTTCCAACTTAAAATGTAGATAATTATAGTTACCTATATTATTTTCGTAATAAAAAATAACTTTGTTTATAATTACCAACTATGGTAATACTGATTCTGAGACATAACTATAGATACATTTAACAGACTGATTCATTAATAATTTTTATTCAAGTATAAAAATACAAATACCAATAAAAGTTAATCTGTAATCAAGCATGAATCTATTTAAATCGCTTATTTTAAAATATTATTTAAACAATAATCATTAATACTTGGGTAATTACCTACTGCTCGTATTGTATTTTTATATTTATTTTTTTTCAATAAATGTTTACCCTTATTAGAATGTTTAGGTAAAAACAAAGTAATAATAAAATTAATTTAATTATAAGTTGCATATTAATTAGCGGATATAAAAAATTTAAATATTCAACAATCAACCGAGTTTGTATTATTTGTATTATTGAACAAAAATGTTCGTAAATTTAACAGGTATGAAGTACATACAGGTATTTGCTCAATTTATTTTCAATTAATGTTTTAAATATTATTTAAGTTTCAGTGTATTCCAATAAACTAGTGGATTTTCTGATTATAAATTTTTTATATTAAACATTAATGATTCAATTTTTTTTCCAATTCTACTGAGTTATGACTTTATGAGTTACAATAAAATTTTATAATTGATCAGCTTATAGTTTACAAATGCACACGTCATATATTTAAAAAAATTAATCATATTACAAAATATATTATGGAAAATATCAATGTGAGATATTTTATTTTCGGGAAAAAAGTGAAAAAAGTTAAACAAAATTTCTTAAGCAAAACCAGTTTTTAGAAAATTGATTCAAAAATTAACGGTTGTAGAAACTTGAATTTTACAATTCTATTAATATTTTCTAGACATGATATAATTTTCAAAATTTGTTAGTCTTAGTTATAAACATTTGAAATTTTTGAATTATTTAGTTTATTTTGATTATAATTTTTGATAAAATTTTTTTGCAAGTAAAACTAATTTTTACATTTTAATATAACGTTCATCTCAAGTTGTTCTTACCGTAATTAAAAATTATTTAAGAAGGTTGTCCAATAATTATGCTACAAAGTTATTTTTATTGTAAACAATGGACCACAGCAAAGAATTCAAGCACCTTTAGATTTTTTTGCTTGGTCTGTTAAAAAAAAATTTAGAAGGAACTCATTTTCAAAATGAGGAATATACCATAAACACAGTTACTGAATACTTCGATAAAAATGTACTGCGTATTTTCCAAATTACATTTTCAAGTAACTCCGTCGTTAGGTTAAGTGATCACTATAGATATGTGGAAAAAAAGAAAAATATGTCTTATTTATCATTATCATGTAAAAGTTTTAAAGTAATAAATTCATTTTTAATTATTCAATATATTTTATACCTAATTTATCGGACAGCCAACATAGTTACTACTTCTTTTTATTAGAGTTTTAAATTCAAATTTTGAAAAAACTCATCATAATTTCAAAAATTTACAAATTATTTTTTAATTAAATATTTCAAAAATAGCTATATTTTATGAACTAAAACTTACAACAACCTAAAAATCTCAAAAATACATTATATACAGTATACATTCTCCGTTCAGAATCATTTTCATATAATTTGATGATTTATCATCAAAATTCAAATTTAACATATCCATTACAGTTACTTAGTCGATGGCGAGATATTCGCAACAATTATACTTCTACAAAAGAGTGACTTCCTGTTTTTTTTTTTTTTTTTTTTTAATAAAATTAATGTAATAATAATTGTCACTTGTGTTTATAAATGTCCATAGATTAGGTAGCCCTTTGTATGTAGTAGCAGTATAATCAATGATACGGCAGGTAGTTCCAACAATAAATTTAATACTATAAACAACAATACCCAATGGGACAATTAAAATAATTTTAATTTAATAATTTTATTCAAAAATATTGTCATCATATCAAATACCTATCATTATTAATTATCAATTTTGTCATGTTTCAAAATCCCTCGTTTTTATTTTTAACTGTTGTTCGTATCGTATTTATTTATCTATTGTAATATGTACCTATGATTGTACAACATAAGCCTTATTAGTTTATTACATTAAACTACGAAATTGTAAAATTACGCTTGTAGACTTAGTATTAACTATTATACTATAAATAATTGAAAACTATTTAGTTATTAATTATTATTGTAATAAGCGTAGATATAATGGCAAATAAACAAATTTATTCTAAAATACGTATATAACTAAATATTGTACTTATGAACTAGCTATGATTGTTTTAAATTAAAATAAAGTATAGTTTATATTATATGCATATATATTTGATTGATTCATTGTTTACGTCTAATCTATAGATTTTCAAAAACAATAAACTGGATACACGAAAAATTGAAAAATAAGATTCTACACATAAGAATACGAATACCTGATTGTTTATATATCGTTTTATTCGTCATACGATAATCACCAAGATGAATCTATACCACTAAAATGTGAGACTAGCTTAATAAATATTTTATAGTTAGTTATCTTATAAAAATATAAATATAATTTGTTGTTAAATAGTTTGTTGTTTCTAAAATATTTACTACACATATATATACGTATATACATAATACATATAGATAGTTATCGGTAACTACATCGTAAAATGATTTTAATGATAAGTTCCTAAAATCAACTACCAAGTAACAATAATCATCAGGTCGCAGTTAATATCTACAGACTATAAAATATAATATTAATGTAAAGTAGTAATAGTTATTAAAATAACAATAACCATAAATGTGTTAATAATTTAAATAGTATTTACATTTATTTATAAATGAACGCCGCATGTATAGGAACAATTATAATGTTATACCATTAATTATTAATACTATTCCTAGATAGAATTAATTGATGGCTATTACATTATAAATTTTATAATATTATAAAATATTGTTATTGTTTTAAATTTATGTTGTATTATATACATGTATATTTTTTTTCTATCAAAAATAATATATTTGATGCGTTAGTATCTATATGTTAATTTTTATAATATTACCGTTTACTAAAATCATTTTTTATATTTAAAAAAATGAGTGAATTATTGAATATATTTAAAATATACTGACTTCGTACTGTTGTATGTGCATGGTTTTTATTCTCTTGTGTTTTTTTTTTTTATTTGACTTATTATACATAGACATATCTTCTCATATATTATTACATTCAGAGTCGGTCTGGTCATTGCTACTAGTGTTAGAGATCCAAAATTTATAAAATATGGTCGTGTAACTATTGACTGTCGTTTGAATTTGTGTATCTAATTACTATTCATTCTTATATGATATTTTATCATTTATTTTGAATTTAACACATCTGTTACCCGGTGATGTAATTAGAAATTTGCTTAAAGAGACATTAAAAAAAAAAAATCTATGTATGTACAGTGTCTCAAACTACTTCCAAAAACTCCTTAAACTACATAAAAAACACAATTTTTATTATATACAGTAGGGTCTCGTTAATCCGAACACAGGCTAATCCGAAAGACGCGGTAATCCAAACGGGCTTGGAAATTGCTGCATCGCTTTACTAATACACCTGTGTATCATAATTCATAATAATATATGCAATATATATAAACATATTAGCTGGCTGTATATACATAATTATAATGATTTTGATTGTATTAATTATTGTGTTTTTCTACAACGAATTTTATAAATGAATACTGCAGTATAGATAAAAATAAATTTCAAAATTTAAATTACAAAAAAATTGATTTTTTTTTTAAGTCATAAGTAATCCGAGTAAATCGTTAATCCGAAGATCCCTTTCCCCAATCTCGTTCGGATTAACGAAACCCTACTGTAGTGTATAATAAATTGTACAGTATTACATTGATTTGAAATTGCTTATTATTATATTGTTGTATAAATTAAGATCCAATTTCCATGATGTTTTGGAAATATCATCATTAAATCTTCAGAATTTACTTAAATTACCTTCTAATAGTATAAACAGTCAATATTAACCCAATTAACTTATCGAATTACCCAGCAATCAAACTTATGGTTATTTACTTATGATTGTATAATTAATATAGGTAATATAGACAGAAAATAATATACCACTATTATCCATTTATATTAATAAATACAAGTAACAAAATAAAAATAAATGAATATCACAAAAATAGAGAAAGACTGGTCAAACTGGCTACAGACTTTAAGGGTGGAAAATATTCGTTAGGCGATAACAGGCAACGAGCAGTCGATTACTGGACAATATTCTCGTAGAGACGTGACTCATTGCGTACCGTACTACCGTACGTCTGTACTACGTGATTATCCGAGAATACCATCACGGTGCAATGTTGGGAATATTTTCGTGCTCGCCACATCAGTATACGTATGTTTCCAAAGACAAATTATAAAATATTTTTTAAATACGTAAAAGTGGTCACATTTGTGACTTGCTCCCACTTCTGTTAGGCAATAAATGTTGTACATCATACTGCAGTATACTGTGTGTTCCTGTGTATTACTGTAGTCTGTATTAGTTATTACTTATTAGCTTTAGTGATAATATATCAAATGAATAAGTATTTAATAGTACTATTGGTTATCTAGAAACATTTATAATTAACAAATTGTATCTTTAGGATATTTAATTAATAGATAAATGTTTATCATATAATTTATCATGACATGATTGCATGAAAATAGTAAGAAATTTTCTTATGAACTGTTGTATAAAAATCAGAATCCATTAACATTATGTTCTCATATATAGTCTCTTAAGATTATAAAGAGCTTTTTTTAGCTTGTATACGTTCTAGAGTTGGTTGTAACAACTAAAAATAATCCTAATTGTATTCAGATTAAACTTTCGAGTTCCTTAAAATTATTTGAAGAAGGCAGAAGCTATAATTTACAAAGTTAACTGTTAACGGTGGTAAATATTGTAATTTTCAAACACTTGAAGAAGAAATTTTAAGATTTTGTCCAAACAAAATAAGTAGAAGAAATAATAAGCATAGGTACATACAAAGTAAGCAGAAACAACAGATAACGAAAGTGAAGTTTTGTTAAGTATATCTAGTATATTTAATATATTTCGACAATAATTAAATCGTACCCCGAAGATTTTTTTTTTTAGTATTTTAAAATATTGAACTTATCATTGGGTGAGAAATGCTTAACAGAGAGGGACCTAAGTGTAGGAAATCGAGATAATGTTAAAGTGAACATATTATTTGGCGAGAGTATGCCAGGTGAAGTTGGAATATATTGTAAAGATGAGTTTTAAATAATTCCGCTTTATCAACATCTGAGGAAGTGAGGAAGCAAAACTACCGTCCGACTTCCTTATTGGAGGTGTTGAGGCTTTGTACTGGAGAGCTATTTCGTCGCCTGTTAGAAACTGCCGTCTTTTGTAGATAATTTTTGACATGAAATTACACATCATGTACATATAGCATAACATATTGTACGTAAAGATGATTTATTCTGAAACTGATTGAGTGAAAATAACATAAATACAATTTTACAACCGAAATTTCGTCCATTGAAACAAATCAAATGCATGTGAATCATGGATTTACAAACGCACAGTACTGAGTAACTCGTAGTAGATAACAAATAAAATAATATGATTTGTAATTTAAAACAAAATATTAACACCGATTGTATACCTATAACAAATTTATATTTTATATATGTTTTATATAGATATCTATGTCTTTACTGTATACTTTTATGGCTAAATATATTTCTACAATGCATAATACAGTTGATTCCCCTTTATCGGGACACGTCGGTTGCGTGTTAATTAGTCCCAATAAAACGGTTGTCCCAATAATCCAAAATAAAAAAACGAACATATTATAAATTTATTGAAAAACTAATTTTTCTTTATTACAAAATACATATTATACAATTATAGAAATTATTTAATAATACAAAAAGAAAAACATGATGCTATAACCTAATTATTTATAAAAATACACACACACACACACATATATATAAAGTACATACACATATTTTTTTATTTTGTTGTAATGTATTTTATCTTATTTAAAAAAACTATGAATATTACTTTATTTCTTACGTATTATTGATTGTGATACTCGATAAAAATGTCCCAATTATCTGGATTCGTGGCCCAGATAAGCAGTGAACGTTTACTCTACTACCAGCATACATTTGTTTTCGTTATTGAAGAATTTATTGTCCCTATTGAGCAGTTAATCTCTATTCCGTGTGTTATCCTTATTAACCGGTGTCTTCATTTCGCGGAATCGACTGTACCATTGTTTATAAAACAGATGAGAGTCACAGATCAGTCCAGTGATGTAATCCTAAAAATTTTTATGGGTACACGCCTGAATCATTGTAAAATAAAACGTGGGGGACTAAGCCCCCCACACCCCCCTAATTAGTACTTGTTCATGTTATCTACTAGTGATTATAACATATTTGGTAAACAATACTACCATTTTCATTTATAAATAGCATATTAAACCATTGACCAACATAAAATTATGGTAGACAAAATACTCAGGGTAGATAGCATATTGAACAAGTACTAGGGACTAGGGACAAAAGGTTTATATAGAATTGTAATGGATACTTGGAACAATAACTGATAACTGGACAAAACAACAATATCGTGAACGTTACCAAATGGTTTTAAAATAGATTTGTGTACATAAGACTCTGTACAACACGATTTAAGATAGTACTACTGTAGCCGTGGTACAAGTAAACCACGGACTTTTATGATCTTTTCTTAGTCTGTGAAATAAACAAATTATTACGCTTATCTTTTTTACTTATTAAATATCAAAATTTAATAAATATACATATTATTTGCTGGGTAACGTTAATTCATCTTATTCATGCTCCGTGTACCCACTACCCGCGTACTACACTACTACGATTTTCGTAAAAGGTACACGCATAGTTATAAAATTAGGAAGTGGGTACACGTCGTGTACCCCCGTGTACCCTTCACTACACCATTGGTACCACCATCTTAGCATCACTTCTATAATAATACTATTCTAGTATAATACTTCTATACTAGCGCTTTCCTACCGGTTGCATCATTAACTACTACACTTTATAGTCCGTTTAACGATTGCATCATTTTCTATACTAGCGTTCCATAGACGCTTAGATCATATTGATCATATATGAATGGTCATTGCCCATTGGTTACCAATTATTAAAATTGCATTTTATATCTTTTTATTTTATGTTTTTAATAACAATAACAATAAAAATACTATAAATTTTTTGTTGTTAGCAGAACGTCAAGTATATCATATGATTACTTTGTATAATGGAGTCTTCTTTTGTTTAAACATCGTTTCGTATAGCAAGTTTTTGGCCTTTTTGTTCAAGCATTAAACCTTACCTAGTACCCAGCTGTCAATGGTTAGTACCTAGTGGTTACCTATAACGTATAAGGAACCTACTGACAGTATTGGTCAAATTAAATCTATTATTTTTAGAAGAAGAAAATATGATATTTGTTGGTAAATAAAAATTGTATTTTTGCCTAAGGAATGAGAAACAGCAAATGTTGAATTCTGTATACACTAAAAGAAATAGGACCACACAACATCCTCGTAATAATAATTTAGTTTCTATCAGAAGCATTTCCACCGATTTCCAAATCGTCGTTTACCTTTCCGATTGGTTTTTGAATCTCATGGGACCACGTTTTACCAACCAAAAACACTTGCTGGTTGTAGTTTCTTTACATTTCATAAAATAAAAAAACATTCACGTTTTTATCTTGGGAATTACTAGATTTAAAGCTATAACACACTTTAGATTATTCATTGTACATTGATTTGATAAGATTCTGTAAACATTAAATTAGTAATTTATTCCACAAAATGGGTTTTTTGTTTATTTTTATCATTGAAATATGAAGAAAAATTTCACAAATAGAGGTAGTAGGCATTACTACTATTGTATTACGTATTTAAAATAAATTACCGGTCAATTTTAAAGTTTAACCAGTTTATAAATGAAAATAAAATAAGAGTGAATTTATGAACACTATTTTTCCTAATTGAATATATAAATTTATCACAATTTACCTTGTATATAGTTTTAGAATATTTCAGAAGTTATTATATAAATTTCTACTCGTGCTTCATTGTTAAATTGTCTGAAAATTTCACAGTCGCATGCAACTAATATTATCGGCATGTATGATATGAATGCATAGTACATACTACATACTGATTAGCGATTACTGATTACTAACTAATAATTGAGACTACTGGAAACTGGAGCATTAACTAATAAACTAAAGGTTATATTAAATACATATTACTTTTCGTAATCACAATTCTTGAAATTCAAAAATAAAAAAATTCAAGTCAACATCATTAAATTAACCTTGCTAAATGCTTTCCAATTCTACTATCTTCATTAAGAAAGCTAAAATCCCAATCTGTCCTCAGTCTATTAAAATAAAATATGTACCTAGGACTTATACTTTCGACAAACGTCTTAATAGTCAATGACTAGATGAGAATCCCATTTAAGCCAATCGTTAAACAATAACTACTTACAGTTTATTGTTGATACCTATCTACTCCATTAAAAACTCCCCATAAAAACAAAACGTTAAATATATATTGCAGTTCTAAAATCTAAAAATTGTATTACTTTATAGAGCTATGAGTCACTGTGAAACCCTTAAATACTAAAACCGTATAGGTATTCAACAGTCGACAATGCACAGAGCTTCTCTACCTATACGCCGTATTGTCATTTGTCATAGACGGCTTAACCGCTTAACCGCTTAACCAATAGGTATAAGTATAAGCCATAAGCCCATAATGTTTGAAACTAGTTGAAATTTGGAACTTAGTAGTTATTAGTTATTACTTAGTAGTAATAATAATGACTATATAGTCTTAACTCATATGTTTAATGCTTATGAATTATGAATTATGATGAATCCGAAATCAGACATCAGACCAAAGCGATAGGCAAAGCCTCATTGTAGAGAAATCACGTTTATCAAAATTGAAAATTATGAGATAATTTTACGGCCTATGGCTCCACTGTAAGGGCGAATCAAACACCAGACCTACCTACCCAATCATTAACACAGCAAACTACAGCAGGCAACTCGCAGCTATAAACCTATACCCGATTACCAGTATTATCTAGTGTGTTTTCTGTTTACTGGTAAGTGGTATGTTTATACTTTTCAATTGCCGATCGGCCCGGCCTAACTAATTATTTAATATTTATTTTATTGCAGCCGGCAGCTGATGCAGTGGTGCTTACTGTTAAATGTTTACCAAGATACCAAATATCACGATTTTTTTTTAAGTATTGGGGTTCGTATAAAATTAGTAATTACTATTTAGTATTTAGTTTAATTTGGTATTTTGGTCATAATGAACGTTATCATGTTGCCGTCATTTGCCGAATGCCAATGCCGTAGTGATGCGATGTCTTAGCTGATTCGATCTTACTTCTTATTAATTCGGCATTGTTGTCATTTTATGTGTATGTGTAACACATGACGCATGTAAGTTATATAACGTCGAAGTGTCACATTTGCTTCGAACACGTTAGTTTTGTGTAAATTTACTAAATATATATTTTTCGATCATCAAAGCATAATGTTGTAATTTATTAAACCTTTACAGCATATTGTATCTTCAATCGCCAAATGTCTATTTTTCGTCGGGTTTGGCCTACTGGTACGTCTGGTACATGTCGTTCACCGCTAGGACCAAATTGAATTTTGTCGAAAATCAATAAATAACAATGTCCGTTTGTCATTAACTCACCGCTCGTAGCTGACAACATTGATCGCACTATCGCAGCTGGTCGTTGCGTTTTACCGGGTTTCGCCGCTTGTTTGTTTAATTTTCGCTAGTGCCGGACTGCTCGAAGAATCCTTCGTCATGAATAACTCGCAGATGCATTTGCATAGCGAGAATTTCGACCTATGCAGGATTTGCCTGCTAGAACCAGAGACGAACAGACACATCAAATTTATTCACATTTTTACGCCGAACGATGGAGGTTTAAAACTGAATCAACAGATGATAGAATTATTAGGAATCAAAGTACATACATATATTAGAAAAATTGTTTGAAATCAAATAACTAAATTGACATTTTTATTAAAATATTTAGGTTGAGAAGGATGATATTAAACCAAAAATGATATGTGAGAATTGTCATAAATCATTAATGAGCTGGATTGAAATGAAGAAGAAAGCAGCCGAATCTCAAATTGTTATCAATTATATTGCTACAAAAAAAGTAAGTGCTGTAGATATTTTTTAATACATATATTTTTTATTTTAAATATAAGTATCCAATTAATAATTTTTGTATTAATTTTTTAATGCTTCAACATAATTGGTATGTTATTTAAATTTACGTTAGTATATGCCTATGTTAGTAAGCATTGTCTAACTCAAATTTTAGAAACTCGTGTCTTTGATAGGTATGTATTTATTGAAATCTATAAAATAAACTGATTTAAAAGTTATTTATTATTTATTCATTTAAGATCTTAACTCGCTAGTTTATGTTGTTTCTATTTTTCAAGTCTGTAACCAAACATTTATGTTTAGTAATTAGTTTCTTAAATTTTAACATTAGACTTAAGAATGAGTTTACTTGTTACAAAACTTAAAGGTAACAGAATTTTTATTTGTTAAATTAATTTTATTTTTGAGGTCTGTTATAAGTAAATAAAAAATTTCAATTTTTAAAAGCTATACTTTTTAACTTAAATTAAAATATTCAAAAATACCAATAAACCGCTGAAAAAAATATGTTCTTATCTTTCAGGTGAATTAGTTAATTCACTCTAATAATTAAATTATAAAAAGGTTAATTAGAATTATGAACATAAATTTGCTGTTATGCACCAATTATTATATAATTATATGTCCTAAATATATTTGTTAGTATATTGAATTTGTATTTTTAAATTACTGGAATTATAACATTTTAAAATAGTTAAGTGTTGACTTCTTATACAATAAATTATTCAAACCTTAATTATTAATTAAGCTTAATATTGTTCACCTAATTTATATAATTCATTAACAATGATTTATCTAAAATTATTAAACTAACTAAAATTTAAAAAAAAAATGCTTGCTTAATAATTAAGAATCTTTTATGAACATAATATTCTTTAAAAAAATTAGTAATAATACTTATTTTGATAATATATTAAAGTAATTAATTTAATTATTTATTTTAAATTGTATTGAAGTATAGAACTCAATTAATATTATACTCTATCAAAATAAGAATGTAATTGTGCAGAGATTAGTTCTGTTGACGGCAGTTGTGCAGTGCTTGTTTACTGAATCTTTCATCTATATATGCCTGTTACGTAATGAGATTATGCTTCTACACACAAGCACCATCAGGATATAATTTCATTCTGAATAAAGTATAGCATTAAATGTTTCTTGTAAATTTGAGGATTAATTATTCTTGGTTTTTTCTTTTTTCAAACTTAATATAATTTAACTCAATTAAAATATTGATATAGAATTATAAAAATCAAATATTTTATTAGATAATTCTATAAATTATAAACAAAAATAATTAAATATAAAATATCCGTGAGGCAGAACTTAATTTAAAATGGGATGGCATAGTAGTTCAGAATTATATCAAACATCTACCCACTCCTAAATTAAACATGTACTCATCTGACATGTTAATTAATTGAGTTTCCATATATTTTTAATAATCTTTAAATACTAGTTAGTGAAAACAGAACTTACAAGAATCAGTAATTTTTTCTAATCTTTGTAACCCTAAAAGTAATAACTAATAAGTAATAACAATTATAAAAACAATTTATTTCAAAAAAATTATTATTTATTTTACGAGGGACATCCAGAGAAGTAAAGTTATAAAGACCATGTAGGGCTAAGAGAATTTTGCTTTTCAAAATTTTCACCACTGGTGGGTAGAAAGATTCCTAACATCAAAACAAATCATCATACCCTTCAGTCTATTACGAAATGTCATCTCAGCAACCAAACAGTTCATCCTTTAATTGCTCTACTTACTGCAGATGTGAGATATGCTCTGTTATTCAGTTCTTTACATTGCGTAACAAATCCGTGACCAGTATTCATCACCATTTTATAGAAACCTATAGATCTGAATTGATGACATGTGAGTGTGTCATTATACTAACCAAAAAATTCAAAGTAAAATTTTTAGAGAGGAAGATCATGGCGTCTATCTTTTGGGACTAGAACGGGATATTATTGGTCAAAATTTAAAAAAAAAAGGAAAGGAATGCTGACTCATTGTATATCACTCCTTTATGACAACACCAGACCTCATACTACCCGTCTTGCTTATAACCCGTAGCGCCGAGAGAGCGCAAGTCGGTGACGACCAAAACTCATCGTAGTTCGCGCATCTCCCACCAACATGACTCTCACCGTTGGATAATCGGCTCACATCGCCAACCGTCGTCATTAATTAAATTAAATTAAATTAAACCAGTCAACTTAATGGGAGAAATTAGACCTCAAAACTGTGGAGTGACTTCATTTGGATGCGCCGCCGACTTGCGCTCTCTCGGTGCTATGGGTATAGAACCTGCTTATTTCATTTGGGTGAGATATTGTGACTCATCCATCCTACTCCTCAGATCTGGCACTATCAGATTATCATCTCTTCAATAAATTGAAAGAGTTTTTGGGTAGAAAATGATTTTTAAATTACAAGGAGGTTCAGAATGTTGTCTAAGTGTTTTCAGGAGGTGGAGTGGAAGTATACAAAAATTGGTCCCTAGACTTCAAAAATGTATTGATCTCTACAGCATTTATGTTTTGACACTTATCTTGTAAATTTCATGTAAATATATTAATTTTTCAATGTTTAACACATGTTATAACCTTACTTTCTGAATCTTCTTCGTATATTAGTAATGTGTAAAGTAAATATTAGTATTGGTTCTCAATTATTTTTATTTACATGTTTCAAAAAAATTTTATGTGTTTATAGACTTACAATGATCTATATTTTCTTAATTTTTTTTTATTTTTGTGTGTGATGTCACCTTTAAGAGCAGTAATAATGCCTTAAAACTTATTTTTAAATCTAGGATAATTTCTGGTACTTAATGAACTTAAAATTAAAAATATCCAATTAGTTCAAAATAATCAGAAAAAACAAAAATCATATTAAGTAAACGTTGAAAACTTTTAGATAAAATCAATTTGGTTTTATGCTTTAATTTTAAAATTAATTACCATAGAATTGAATTTTTCATCAAATATATTTTATTTTGTATTTTCTAGACTTGATAAAATTTGTTATTAAAATTTTTTGAAAATATTAAGCATATAAAGTTTCTCATACATTATTTACTGCCATCAAAATATATCAAAAATAACAGGTCAAAACTTTATCCTTTAATATATAAGCATTGAAAAATCAAATTTTTCTGAAATAAAGTAAATACATGGACTATTGTGTAATTAAATATAAGCATAAAGCTAACATTTGTTTGTTTTGAACATTAAAAATTTAAATTTAGATAACATGATGACATAGATATTCAAACGTTTAATGAATAATTATATATATATATAATATATATTGTAATAAGATATACATTTATTCTCGAACAATTTTTCATTAAAAAAAAAATATAATCAATAGAAACTTAAAACAAGTATTTTAATGTTTATTTTATATATACAAAACAATTTTCAACATTTCAAGACTTAATCCATATAATTTATATCACAGACCTATTCATAATTTATGCCATGACTAGTAAAAGCATTAAACATTTTTAGTATTTTTATTGGTATAACTGTCAAAATATTTGAGAATTAAAAAATGAGTTTTTTTTTTTAATATTCTTACAGCAAATTAAAAATACTTAATGAAAAATTTGATATATTTAAATAATATTTGTACAATTTTATTTTGTAGATATTTGGAAGTCAATTGTTGACAAAATTGGATATTTAAATGTAAAATAATGATTTTAGTTACCTATTGTATATTTTATTATTATTAAAAAAAAAAATATTCCTGGGGACTTATTTTTCTACTATTACATGTTTTATAATAAAAGCAATATTTAAAAAAAATTTAACTTTAAGACTAGAAAAATAAATTATTAATAATAATAAAATATTCTTAAAAATATAAGCTATCGAAACTAATCTACTCAAAATCATATTTGTATGTAATAATTTATCATTGAATTCAAATTTAATAGATCCATTATAGTAATGTACTTCATGATTAGGTACATTCATATCTATTATACAGTAGAGAATTTTTATTTTTATGTGTGATTTTATTTTAATTTAAAATATTTATAAATTATTATTAAAATAAGTTACACCGAATTAAAATTGTGTCAATTAGTTTTTCAATGATATATATTTTATTTAAACTTTAAACTCTCATTTAAAAAATATATTAAGGAAAACATTGAAAAAACTTGCAACTTAAAAAAAAAGTTCTATTACACCGAATATAGTTATGATGTTTATTTAGGATTTATATACTAGGAATAATATTGAATATGGATCTAATAATTGTTAACAAAAATCAAAATAAACTGTATTATGCTTTAGAATTTTAAACTAATATTAGCTTACCCTCTATTATATTGTGTATTTTTTATACTTTTCTATTAAAATACTAAAAATAATAATTATAGGTCATAAATTTAAGTAATAAATTATTTTTCTTTCGCAGTTTGGTCAATTAAGTAAATTATTATTTAGTTGTTACAATATGCATATTAAACATAAAATACACTAGTGATTAAGTACATAGGAAGTAAGTTAATTTGTATTATTAACAAAATTACTAGTAGCTTCCATCAATATTCATTGGAAATTGTGCAATTTTTGTAGTAGTCTACAAGATAGTATTGTTTCTAAATGGACTGATTAAATTGTTTGGTTAAATCTAGAGGACTGAAAGTTTATGATAATTATGCGCTCCAAAATAACTAGATTTTGTTCATAATTAGATCTCTGATATTTTGACTTTTAAAACTGGTATATAATTCACTCCTATAGGGTTATGTTTATTAGAACATTATTTATCTTTATCCAATACATATATAATTATTATTGTATATTTCATAGTCCTGTTATTGAATTTTAATTAATCAACTTATAAAAATATTTCATATTATTAGTTAGAATTTTTTATTAAATATTTATTATTTTACTTTCAAAATTAATACTATTGATATTAAAAATAATGTTATTATTAGTTTTTGTTAATTGATAAGCTTTTTTGGATTTTGCAATAAGTATTTATTCTAATAAATTAGTTTATAACATACAATATTAATATTAGAAACACCAGCTACCCACAATAACTGAGTACATTAAAAAATGATCAATTAACTTCTTCGACCACATCAATTCAGTTCACAGTGCGAAATTTTATAAACCAATAGACCTACTATATACCGACTCAAGCAATGTCGCTTACACGACCTGTTATTATAATTATAACTATATATATTTATTTATTTATTTAATTTAATTTAATTTTCTCCTGTCTGTAAATAATTTAAAACCTAGCCAATAGTATCTTTATTACTAATTTATTTATTATTTTACTAATTGTTATCAATATTCCAAATGCTAAAAAAAAAAAAAAATATATTAGAAACATACCCTTAATTAAGTCTAATATTTTAAATTTTATGTTTCTGTTTTTAGTTTTGTGTTACTATCCCGGGAACATCAAATGCAACTTATTCATCGCCAGATTCAAGGAATAATGAAGAATCTACTAAGGAATCATTTTCATTCACACATTCTCGATCAATATCAAAACAATCAAATAATAATAGAACAAATTTAAATGGTTGTAGTAGTTTAAATATTAACAACAGTAATAATAAACAAGGTAATTCAAGTCGATCATTTAATACAAATCATTCAAAATCAACATTTTCTGATAGTGAATCAGATGATGATACTTCTTGTTTAGAAGTCAAAACCCCAGTTGAAATAATTGAACTATCATCAGACAGTGAAGAATCTGTTAAAAATAATTTTAAAAATGAACACATAAATGAAGTTGAAAATGAAAAATTACACTATTGTTCCATCTGTCAAAAAAAGAATATTTTGAATCATGATTGTTCACAATACAATAAATCTTTCTTTACTTGCTTAGTGCCTAATTGTAACATTCTATCAAGATCAAAAAAAGATTTTACACCACATTATCGACGACATATTGGTTTGTCTTCTACAGCAGTCATGTGTCGTCGTTGTTATCAAGAAATAAAAAAATCTGATCGTGATACCAATGGTCATTATCATATACGCTGTCGTACTGTAAATTTATTTAAATGTTATGCATGTAATGTGATATTTAACAGTATGGAAGAATTTGCCTATCACAAATTAAAAACACATAATGGCCGATTAATGAACTCATATGGTAATTATTTATGTTTTTATTGTGAAATATCATCTCCAGATCTAACAAACATTATTGAACATACTAAGCATTGTCTTGAAAATCAGTCAAAAAATGTAACTGAGTATGGTATAAAACTAAAAGATTCTACAGAAAATGTAACTGAATTATTACCTGTTAAGAAAAGTACTATGAAGAATAATATACTAGAACGTAAAAAAGGAAAAGAGAAAAAGATTCCACGTGCATCAACATATGTACTATTTACTTGTTTAAAACCGTCTTGTAATCTTATCTTCCAAAACTTTAATGTTTTTAAATTTCATCATCGCGAGCATTTTGAATTTGGAAGTAAATTGATGTGTTGGCAATGTTGTGTACCATTTTCTGATTTAAATGGTCTTAGAGCTCACCAAGTAAAAGGCTGTCGTACTCCTGGAATGTTCAAATGTTATGAATGTTCTGAACAATTTGATGATCTTCAAAGTTTAAGTATTCATAAATATACCTTACATAATGGTGATTTAATAGCAAATAAGAAAAATAAGACTATTGCATGTGCATACTGTCATATGGAAATTCATATTAATAATTTTAAATCTCATTTGATTGCATGTCAATACAATCAAGTTAATAAGAATGTAAAAATTAAACCTAAATCTACCTACACTAAAAAATTCAAAGGTCCTTTTAAATGTACAATTTGTAATAAAGTGTGTCTTACAGCAGCAGCATTAAAAAGTCATATAAAGGTTCACAATCCATCTCCTACAAAAAAAACTGTGAAAAAAAGAATGAGTAATACTTCTTTAAGAACTGAAAATTTTGTTGAAGTGTCCAACTCTAGTTGTAAACAAGAAACTGATCTAGAAGTAAATCAAAGTAATACTTCTCAACTTAATACAATTGTATCTATTGATAATGACATGACCAATACTGGTGAAAATAATGAGATGGATGTTGAGATGAATACATTAACTGATAATTCAAGTAATGAAGCATTGGAATCTGTTAATTATGGTGTGTTTCCAATTGTTAATAAATTTGTTAAATGTAATAATTGCCCTAGAAAATTTAAATCAAATTCAGGATTAGCAAGACATTGGCAATTTTGTTGTAATTCTATACCAAGTTCTTTAAAAAGTAAACCTCACAATTATTATTGTACCAAATGTAAAAAATATTATACACGCCTAACTTTCTTTCAACATTGGAAAATACATCATGGAAAAAGACTCCAATGTCATAAGTTTAGACGATATTCTTGTAAAAAATGTCCCTTTAAATTTATGTACAAAATAGCATTATCAATGCATAATGAACATGTGCATGGCGAACAAGACAACACAGTAGCTATTACATCTAATATACCTCCTTCTAGCTCTGTAGTAATGTTACCAGTTATATCTGAAACCACATCATTGGCTAATAATATTCCTGAAACAACTACAGAAAATAATGAAGAAAACAATGTACCAATTAAACAAGAAGCAAATACAATATCAAATCAATGGGAAGTGTCTAATAATGAAATCAAAGAAAATATAATTGAACATGATATAAATGAAAAAAATAATGAAGTCAATGACTTGAAAAATAATGAAAAACAGGATATGAAATATAACATTGATAATAAAGACGATGAAACTAATGTTTGCACTGCACAAGATATTAATCAAGTTGCAGACAAATTGAATGATAATGAAACAATAGAAAATCTCTCTAATGATGAAGATATAGTAGCAGTTAATAATATATGTTCAACAGTTATTTCAGAATGTGACCACAATTATGCTGATAAAACAATCACTGAAATAGATAATTTTGAAACAAGTTTATCCTCTATAAAAGAAGAGAATCAAATTATTTTAAATAATGAATTAGTAGCAATAAATGAGACCCAAAATATTAGTCCAGTAAATGAACCCAAAATCGACAACTCCATACAAGAATTCCCTACTTCAAGTGAATAAAAGCAATGGAAAATAAAAAATTATTGACTTCAAAGCATGTAATCTTTTTTACTGGTGTTAACTAACACTAAAATTGATTATATCAAACTTGAGTAAATTTAAAGAAAAAATATCTTATTATAATTATGAAATAAAAAATAAAAATTCTATTCACTGAAAATATTATTTTCATTTTATTTACTTTTATTGAATAAACCAATATTTTTAGTAATAATAAAGTTTGTTAAAATTAATTTTGTGTCATAAAATTATTGAAATTTTTTAAAATATTATATTAAACAACTGAAAAAACTGTTTACTTAATTAATAATTTAATTTTATTACTTTTTAATTTAGTGAATAAGTAAAGTAGATTATTAAAGTAGACTACGTATTGATTTTTATTTAAATTTTTTATCTTAAAATGTCTTACTCTATAAATATTCTTTTTTTTATATGTATTCTTTATATAGTACCCCCATAGTATCTAAGTGAGATATGATGTATTGAATTTTCTATAAAACTTAATTGTACTATTACTGCAATTAATATTATTTTAAATATATGTTACTCAACTATTATTTTAAATTCAGTGTACAAGATTAATTTTTAAATTAAATAAAAGCTAAGTTTTATAATGGTATTTATTTAGTCTTTCTATAAATTTGTGTTAGTATGATATACGTATACAAATATGTAATGAACTAAATCGAAAGCTTTAAACAAACTTGTATTAGTCATTTCATTATTGTATACAACATTATAAATTTAATATGTAATACTAATAAAAATATCTTTAAATTATATATAGCTAAAAATCTTTTATTAAATATAGAATTTTAGTTACTGCTTTGAATTATTATATTTTTTTTAGCTAAAAATACACTTATTTTTGTTATAGTATTCATATTACAATTTTGAACAAAATTACATTTATTATATTAATATGAATCTTTATCTAACATCACAAGATAAAATGCAGATTTTGTTTGTTTTCATTTTTTATATTACTATTAAAAATTAATAGTTAGATGTGAATATAAAAATATTTCATGAGTTTATATTGTAGTACACTTCTTGGCAGACATATTTGAATCATAAATACATCAAATTGACTTCAATATAATATAAAAATTTTAAATCAAAATTTCTGTCAATCATAATTTTATGTTTTACTTGTAAACAGTGCTTAAATTGAAGTACCGCTAATTTGGCTAATTTATTTAGGAACTTTAATCATTATCAATGCACTTAAAAGTACACTTGTGTTTTTAATTTCAAAAATTTTATTTAAGATCAAAGCAGTTGCGACAGTAGTGTTCTGAAAATTTTCAGACCTGAGGCAATAATACCTAAAATCGATTAAAAATTCAAATATCTAAATAAATGAGTAATTTATAGTTACACTGAATTGTCTATAACAAGAAAACGGTTAACAAAATTCAGTTCTATCTATTAATTATTTACATGGTAAAAAAATTGTAATTAATTATAAAGTATTTTAAATGTATAAAATATACATTTTTTAAATACTTGTTTTTATACTCAATTACTTTTATCACCTACTGAAATTCAAATAAATATTTTTAATACTTTGTAAAGTAAGTAACTTTAACTTAAATACCTTGAAAAGTATCTTTTACTAGTCTAGATCAAACAATTATTAAAGTCACTACTTACTGGACTATACGATTAACAGTGACATCATTTGAGTATTTAAGTGTTAAAATTTAAATATTTAGTCTTGCCAATTGTTTTTTCTGATAGGTTGCTTAATCCAAATGTAATACGCATGTATTTTATGTATGAGTGGGGTTGAATTTATTAAGGTTGATTATATATGTTTAATACTTTATTAAATTCAAAAGTTGGAAGTTGAAAGTAGCTTTTATCATGCATACCAATAATTAACCAATACACATTATCTCAATACATATTAAATTATACGCATTATATTTTTAATAATATATTTTAATTTTTAAATATCAGCTGTCATCGTGTTTGTAAATCTTATGGCAGGCTAATAAGGCACAGCAAAAAATAGGTATTAACTATTAAGCCTACACTCTGTCATCACGAAAGCTCAAATAACGCTCTTCGGCCCTGCAATTAGGTTTTATTGAAATGTATTACAATTCACAAATCGTTACAATTAAAATTTCAAATTACCGCTAAATACTTGGAACAAGGTACATTGTGTTATGTTCCATAGAAATTTGTTACGTTTTCCATCGTCCTTGGAACGCATCATACCGCGCGTCTGTTCATGTACCCGCCATTCTAACCATGGATGGAGGTGCGTGTACAAGCCGGGTGACACCAACAACAATTGTGTAGTGTGTACCATTCTCTCCTCTCAGTACCCATTTGTGATCTCCATTTTTACTGCAATTGCTTAACGTTTACAGACTTACAGTGTACCTCTCCAATTTTGTATGTGATTTACAGGTTTTGACGCCGTTTTTTTGAGAGTGTTAAGCCGGCCTTTTAGTAATTGGTTTCCAGTTAATTCCTTGCTAAGTTTTGCTGGTGTTTCTTCGTTTATTTTTTCTTTTGCTCACCATATTTACTTTTGTTGTTCTGTCTTGCGTTTCGTTTCCGGGTGATTAGAGTTCAACGTTCAACAGTAAAGTTGTATAACGTAGTGTTTGCGACAGATACTCAGAATCGACGCCGTCGGTTCCTACGTCCATATTTCGACCAGTCAATAGCAACGATGGCTTCCAATGCTTCGATCCGAAGTGTCATAGTCAGCCCAACCGAAATGTGCCGCGTTTGCCTAAGCGAAATGCGCCAAGTGTTCATCGACGTGCTGGGGCCCAACGAGCCCTTACTTGCTCAGTTTGTCAATGAATACTATAAGGTGGAGGTGAGTAGTTGTTTACGGTGATCATATTTATTTTTTAATTGTTTCCTGTAATCCTATTGTGTTATTCCTTTTGTTTTAAAGTTTATAACATTTATGATACAAACCATTGGCTGCAAGAGAAAACTACTAATTTTTGTACAGCCTTGGTTATCATGTATAAGTGTATTTGATATTATTCCTCTATGGATGACATTTTGAGACTTTTGTGATGTTTTTTTTTTTTGCACAAGATCACTCCTTATTTATATTTTATCTTAAGTTTATGTTATTACGACATTTATTGTTTGGTTGATGTGCATTGCACTCTGAGTACCTATCTACTACAGAACTAGCTGGTAATAGTAGTAACGAAGTCAGGCAAGTTCATTAACTTTTTAACTAGTTTAAGTTAGGTTATCTTAAAAAAAATTATTTAGCTTTATTTTTAATTCTTTTAATGATACTCAAACATTTTTCTCATTAAAAGGAAAATGATTAGTTAATACTATTATTAATATTTTTAATTCTAATTAAAAGATTGGTTTTGTCTAAACCAGTGTTTCTCAACTTGAAGTATGTGATATGATCTCAAGGGGTACCTTTTTTTTTTTTTATTAAGAAAGAAAATTTACAATCTGTACACAATAATTACAATGAGCAAATTTGATATTAACATAAAACAAAATTACATGAATAACATGATGAGGAAGATACCCAATGGTAACAACTCTTTTACTAATTTAATAGGTCTCTACACCATTTGCGTTTTAGTCGTCTGCTAGCGGGTTTTTTGAGAGGGTGAGGGTGAGGGTGAGGGTGGACATGTGAGATATTAAAGTGTTGCTATGCGTGCTTAGATTTTGGTGAAAACGTTTGTACATTGTTGTAACTAGTTCAGTGGTAGTTATTTTTAAGTCATTATGTAAGGTGGAGTTTAAAACAAACCAGGGAGCTTTGGTAACTAATCTTAGCACAATTGATTGAAAAGCCTGAATTGGCCTTATGTTCAAGGGCTTGGCCAGACCCCAGATTGCCATTCCATAAGACCAGACTGGTCTTATGATTGACCTATATATAATAAATTTATTTTGGAGTTAAGAAGATGAAGTCTATTGTTCGCAGATTTTCTTTTTTCTTTTAGGTGGGGGCCCCAGGTTAGTTTTTTATCAAGTGTTATACTTAAGTACTTAATTTTGGTTCGGACAGGGATGGAGACGTTGTTCAGAATTAATGGAGGGCACTCGCGGGGAGATTGTTTTAAAGTGAAAGTAACTTGCACAGATTTATCTGTATTTATTTTAATTTTCCAGTTTTTGGCCCATTCGTCTATTTTATTAGCATGGTCTTAAAGTGCAGCTGAAGCTAGGTTAGGATTTGAACTGGAGGAAAGAATAGCTGTGTCATCAGCGTATGTTGCAAGAAGGGTGTTACAAGATTGAGGGATATCGGCTGTAAATACATTGTATAGATCAGGGGATAAATCACTGCCCTGCTGGACTCCATTATACATTGAGTGAGTAGATGAGAAATCATTACCCTGTCGTACGACAAACGAACAATTTTTCAGATAAGATTTGATGGTACTTTTCTGTTTTTCCTACTACTGCAACTCTCAATTCTGTTATCTCGATTACCTCGCCGATGCCGCGACTACCGGACTACAGTTTGCTCGATTATCTGTTGCCGCTGTTGCCAACAGTTGTATTATTTTAAAATAATCTGTTGTTGTATTTATTAATTTTAAAATAACTATGAATTTGTGGAATTTACCAAACTGTAACTGTGATAATTTATTTATATTTATTTAGTATCGTAATTTGACGTTTTGTGATAATTTTGATGATTTTATGTTTTATACTATAACTCTCCACTACTGTGACAATTTATGTGATTACTGATAATAAACGTTATACTAATTTACATTAAAATATAAATGGCAATTTATGACGTGTATTATGTATTAAAATACAAAGTATCTGGATAGTACTATAGTAGTCGAGATAACAAAATTGAGAGTCGTAGTAGTAGGGATAACAGAAAAGTACCGATTTGATAATAAGATAAGTAGGTAGCTGTCATGAAGAGTTTTAATTTGTATAGTAAGCCTTCATGCCAAACTCTATCAAACGCTTGGGCAATATCTAAAAACAATTTGGAGCAGTATTCTTTGTTCTCTAGAGCAGTTGAGACTTCGTCAGTAAGACGATGAACTTGATGAATTGTTGAGTGCCTATTTTGAAAACCAAACTGATTATTTGGTATGATTTGGTTATTTTGAAGGATGGGACGTAATCTTTTCAGAAGGGCCTTTTCGAAAAGTTTACCAAGAACTGGAAGTAAACTTATGGGGTGGTAAGATGAAGATAAGTGTTAGGTTTATTTGGTTTAGGTACAAATATAATGACAGCAAATTTCCAAATGTTTAGGAAGTTAGACAATCTTAGCATAGAATTGTATATGTGAATGAGCAATGTTAAAGTTTTGAGAGATAGGTTTTTTAAAATTTTGTTTGTTATGAGATCATTTCCAGGTGCCTTGCCGGAAGGTAATTTTTTAATTAGGTATATACTGAATTTTGCCAGAAGAGATAGGTTTTGCAGGTAACAAAATAGGTTGCGGAGTTGATAGAAATTGTTGAATTTCGATAATTGAATTGTTTTCGGGAACAATGCACGAATGAGGCTTAAATGTTTCAGCTAATTGAGAAGCAAAAATATTTGCTTTGTCTTTATCAGTAATAGCAAGAGTAATAACTAGTTGACCGTTCACATGTTAGAGAGGTGGGATTTTTTCTGTGTGTTTGGTGAGCCTTTTAGTTGCTTTTCAAAGAGAGCTGTTGTTTGGTTGCAAAGATTTCATGTATAATTGAAACTGTTCAGATTTGTGTATATGTAGTTTGTATTTCAAAAGATTTGTTAAAAAATTTTAATTTTTCTTATGACTAGGCAACCTTGTACTTTGTCATTTGGCATGAACTTGACGTTTGTTAATTATTAGCTGTTTTATGTCAGCAGGTATGCTTTTGGAAGAATTTAAGATGTGTGGGTTAGTAGGTGATGTAGCTGTAATGGCTGATAGTTGGATTGTTCGAATGATACCTTCGGCGGCATTGTCTATGTCGGAATGAGTCTTAAGTGCTACTTTTAGATTAATATTTTGGCCCCGATTAAATTTGAATTTGTCCCAGTCAATTGGTCCATTAGTTGAGGAAGGTCTAGAGGTTAATAGTACGTCACCAGTTATTGATAAAAGTATTGGAGAATGGTCATTTGATAGATCACAGATGTTTTTAATGGAGGTATTTATGTGATTTGGAATATTGGAAATAAAGAAATCGAGTGTTTCGAGCAACCTATTAGCATGTGTTGGTCAGTATGTAGGGTTAGGTGGGGAAATGAATGATAGATGATTTTTGATTAAAGATCTATGGAGAGCAGAACCTTTTTGGTTAGAAGTTCTGCTTCCCCAAAGAGAGTGTTTGGAGTTGAAGTCACCACCAGCTATGAATGAATGAATGATCTAACAGTTGAAAAAACCTATTTAAATCCTCGGAAGTCAATTTTGTAACGGGGTGGGCAGTAGATAGAGGCAATTTTAATTGGTACATTTTTTATTTGTATAGAAATAATTGTTGCTTGTATATGAGGTTCTTGAAAGCCAAGTAGTTCATGGTGTTTTATATCAGAAGAAATAAGTATAGCGAAGCCTGCATGAGCAGAACCATCAGGATGGTCGGTTTTGTATAATGAGTAGCCAGGTATGTTAAAGTTTGTGTTTTGGGTGAAATGAGTTACTATAATGAGGGCTACAAAGGGGTACCTATGTTAAAATAAAATTGACAAATAGCAGAAAATGTTGGAATTTGTTAATTTAAAACGATTCGTTCAAAAATATTCATAGTATATTATTGAAAATGAAATCTATGTCATTAATTAAAATTTAACCGTCAACTAATCTAATTGATATGAGTATAGAATATAACATAGAATTGTTTGTTACTTTTTATTTAAATATTTTAAAATTAGTTATGTGAAAAAGTTTAAAAATTATAATGAAGGGTACAATCTAACAAAATATTAAACTTAGGGGTACGAAACAAAAAAAATGTTGAGAACTGCTGATTTAGACAATTCAGGTGACCATAACAGTTATAATTAGGGCTCGGAACTTAATGCACTTAAAAAGTACTGAATATGCATACACTTATGTTTTATTTTTACACACATTTTTATTTTCAAAAATATTTTATAAAATATATACATGAAAAAAGTAAAGTAATAAAAATAATTCTTATTTTTAATTTTAAATCATAATTTAAACAAAAAAAAAAAATATAATAATATTAAAATGCCTTTAAAAATGTTCCTTGAATAAAATTAATGTATTTATAGAATTTTTTTCAAGTTTTATTTATATACCTTAAATACATAAATAAAAATTATAAAAATCTTTAATAAATTTTAAAAAGTATTTTAATTAAAATGTATTAGATATAATTTTGTTCCCTTTATACCTTCAAAAGTGTTTCATTGGACTACTAAACTTTTTTTGATATCTTTGAAATTGAAAGATTGCTGATTATCCACGAGCTAAGTTTTGTACTATGAAAAACTACATTTAAAGTCAGTTGACGTAATTGGCGCATATTTGAAGTAAGTAATATTGTGTCACCGTCAAATCATTAGGAAGACCTTCCATTAAAGTTTCTTATCCACTTTATATTTTAGAAATACTAAGTATTGTTTTAAATCTGCTATTTTTCTCCAATACATTATTGAATTTTTGAAACACCACAATACTGATTTCAGCCTCAGAGTCGTTTAGTTTATTTTTAACACATTTAACTATAGACAATGCTTCGGATAGTGAAATATTTTGTGTTTCAAGTTTCATAATATATTCTGGTATAAATCCAAAATTTGAATGTATGTATGCTAAATTCCATTTTGGGTTTTTGAATTAGTTGTTGAACTTCTCTAACAGATAGGGCATCTTCAGCATTTAGACTTAGTAATACTCTA